GAGAAGGGTGCACAGTGTATTACTTTATTTTAAACAGTATAGGCACTTATTTGTAATGTTTTACATAGCTATACCTGGAAAAGGGGCCAACCTGAAGTGATCTAGCAGGACTTAATTTTCTGACTAAAGTTCCACTTTAACCACTTTCCCGCCAAACCTGTAGCAGACTGCTACATGATGGCAGGGGTGCGCAAAATCACATATATATATATGTGATTTAGCATGAGCGCCCCCTACCCACTCCGCCATCAGCGCCCTCGGCTGTGAATCAGTGGGTCCCGGTTAGTGATTACTCACCGGCACCTGGTGAACGCCCAGCATTATTGACGGGGGAGACAACTGTATGTAAACAATACAGTTCTCTCCCCTTTCAGCTCCAGCACGCTGCTTTGTATGGCTCTGCAGAGCATAGCCATACAAAGCAGTGTGCTTACAGTGGAAAGCACAGACACAGCTCACAGTTAACCCATTAATCACCCCAGATGTTAACCCCTTCCTGCCCGAGTGCCATTAGTACAGTGAGAGTGCTTTTTACTAGCACTGATCACTGTATTGGTGTCACTAGGGATGTCAGTGACACCAAGTCAGTTCCCCCCAGTGTCAGAATGCCTGCCGCAGTCCTGCTATAATTCGCTGATCGCCGCCATTATTAGTAAAAAAAATTCCAGTATATATACCACTATTTGTAAATGCTTTTAATGTTCACGTAAACCAGTTACTTTACACGTATTGGGATTTTTTTTAGCAAAAATATGTAGCAGAAATAGGGGCGGACTGACAATTCATGGGGCCCCCGGGCAATAGGGGATCATGGGGCCCCCTGTGTCCTCGCCCACACTCAAACCACACCCACACCTGAAAAGGTACCAGGGGCATCTCATGGGGCCCCCTACTGACTCCGGGCCCTCGGGCAGTGCCCGAGTGCTCGAATAGTCAGTCCACCCCTGAGCAGAATACATTTTGGCCTAAATTTATGAAGAAATTTGATTTTTTTACATTTTTTATTGGACATGTTTAATAGCAAAAAGTCAAGAACATTGTTTTTACTCACATTTGTCGTTTTTTTTGTTTATAGCGCAAAAAATAAAAACCGCAGAGGTGATCAAATACCACCGAAAGAAAGCTCTATTTGTGGGAAAAAAAGGACATAAAATTTCATTTGGATGCAGAGTTGCATGACCGCGCAATTGTCAGTTAAAGTAACGCAGTGCCGTAAACACAAAAAATAGCCTGGTCGGGAAGGGGTAAATCCTCAGGAGGGCAAGTGGTTAACAAAAGCCAAAAGAGACATAAGCAGTACTAGGAGCTGATTAGGGTCTGATGCAGGATGCAGTGCACAGATGCTAACAGTAAACAGTAGAAGAGAGCATAGGGATGAGAAACGAAAAAATGCACCCAAATGTTTGACTGTGAAGTAATCTTTTTCTAGATCTCCCTGTTAATCCTTAGGCTCCATGCACACTGGGCATTTTAATAAGGCTGGTAATGTTAGCTGTGTAAAGTCACGGTAAAAATGTTTTTTTTTTAGTGTATTTGTGTTGGTGTTTAGCCGCGTTTTTTGAAGTTTGCAGGGTTTTTTTTACCTTAAAAAGTCCAAAAACGAGGGTTTGCTAAGTTTTACCACATTTTGCCGTGTTTTATAAGCATTACAACGTTTTTACAGATAAAAAACTCTTCTAGAAACCCACTAGTTCTGGGGGTTATTTTCAGCCAAAAAACACCCCAGCCAAAAAACGTTAATTACAGTCTATGTGTGTATGGACACATAGGATAACATGCTGGGGAGTTTACTGGCTGTAGAAAAAAACTCCAAAGGCCAAAAAACAGCCGCTGTAAAAACGTCCAGTGTGAATGGGGACTTAACAGTGACTGTGGCAATGGGACTGTGAGCAGCTGAGGAACTGATTTGGCTGCTCAGCGGGAAACAGTCAATGAGCGCCTCTACGTCTCACAATTTGTGTCCATCGCTGTGGTTGTAGTCTGGAAGTAGGTTGGAATCAGAGGCCTGTTGGTCACAGAAATACTCCATTTTGGGTCACAGGTAGCATCTGGGTTAGGGTTTCCACCTCATCCCTTTAAAACCGAATACATATTAATTACAAAGCTTAATGCACACAAGGCACTAAGTGAGTTTAATTACCACCTTAATCAGCCACAGAACCTGTGTAATTAATATGTGTTTGGTTTTAAAGGAATGAGGTGGCAATCCTAATCCGGATTAGGGTTTACAGACAGCAGGCAGACTGGGAGGTAGGTACACCTGAACTCGGCTCTTGAGTTTAGGTCTGCTTTAATGAGATGCCTTTGCCATTCCCTTTACTATGCCAGAGAATCTTAGATTACTAATGTTTAGTTCAGAGCTTGGTAGTCAACAGTGTTAACCTCCTTAGCGGTGTTCCTGAGTGTAGCTCGGGTTAAAATTTCTATACCAAGAGCGGTAACCCTGAGCTACACTCGGGCTTACCATGCGGCGTTGCTCTGGGGGTCCCTGCAGCACTTACCTTGTCCTTCGCTCCCGCGATGTGTCCCCTGCAGTGTCCCCGGCCATCTCCTCCGGCCGATGCCGGCATCTGGCTTCTGTATTCCGGTCCCTGTGACGTCGGGACGTACAGGCGCCGGACCCGTCGGGAAATTTGAAATTTTTACAAAAATGTCATTTTTGCTGTCATTGCTGTTTCAATGCATTTCACATATATTTTGTCCCTACTGCTTTGTCCTGTGCCCTGCCTGCATTTTCAATGTTCTTTCTGCCTGGAAACTTAGAAAAGTCCATGGCGTCCAAAAAGCGTCCCTTTACGTCAAAAGCGGTTTTAGAACAGCAATAGTAAATCAGAACCACTTGCAGAATTGAGTGATAATTGATTAGTGGGGAAATTCGTCATCAGACACTGAAAACGATTTTGCGACTTTGCTCAGCGATGTGCGAATTTGCCTCTGTATTTCAAATTTCAGTGTTTTTGGTTTGATTATATTATTGAATTAAATTTATTATAATTATATTATTATTTTTTATGATTATTTATTAAATTATAATTTATGATTTTGTGTTTCAAATGTTATCATACCTGGGATGTTTAATAGACTCTTGTTCGGACAGATTTCAGTGAGTTGTTCCTAAAAATTACAGTCTACAATAAAAAACTACATATTTCCATGCAAAAAATGGTAAAATGGTACCGCTTTCAGCACAAAAAATCGGAAAGAATCATACCGCCAGGGAGGTTAATAGAACATTAATGCTCCGCAACAACAGAGACAACTTGACCATTACCCGCGGGGCCCTTGGATATGGGGGTAGCACCAGTCCTCCTGTACGGGGCCCAGACCAGCAGGGGGGCCCAGGCAGTTGGGTGAATTGGATGTGGGCAGGGAGGGTGATCAGCACGGCGTGGAATTATTGGAACCGATCCCCTGTATGTGGCTTTTTTGCAGCAGCTGAAAGCTGGCTTCAGCTCCTCTCCATCTACATGCTACTGAGATCAGGGGATCAGTTCCAGTAATTGCTTCCCCCATCACTCTTTGTGCACCATACATTTCCCTCTGCTGCTCAGCCCAAACCCCGTGTGCTCCCACCCCCCACAGTGCTTCCGGATTGCCACCTGTGGTTCCCACTGGCAGCTGCAAGCACACAATAGAATCCTTCAGAATGGAGAGTGGGGGATGGGCTCAGTAAATATGTCACATGTACCAGCCCCTTTCTTTCTTGAATGAACACAATGATTGATTGGTACTGATCACTCATTGTGCTCATTCATAACTGAAGCATTGTAAAATGTGGGGGTTTTTTTGTTTTGTTTTGTCAGGTTGGCTGTATGGGGCCCCGTGGTTTCTAACAGCAGCCCTGATTACCCCAGCATTGGTCACATAACCAGGTGCTGGAGGGATGTGGAATTGCACTTATTTTATTGCCTTCTATAGTTTTTATAATTTGTTATTGCTATATGTTTTAGTAAATGTAAATTAAATGTACTACATACTTTAAAGCATCAGGTCTCCTTCAAACCATCAGCTATGCATTGTAACAATGCATTCAGTGTTTACATATTTTGTTCCCTTTTTTAACTCTTTTGAATGTTAAGAAACATTTGATTCAATTTTATGCACAACAGCAAGTTGTAATGTGCTGCCACTCGTTTTATTGTATTGCTGTGTGTTGCATAAAAATGGATATATGCATTTTTATGCAACATACCTGTATGGTGTGACCAGAGTTCATAAAATACAATTGTTTTCTTTGTGTCCTTGTGTTGAGCCTGTATTGATCAATGCAGATTAATGCAGTTTAGTGGACATGGTGTGAACTAGACCTCAGAGTCAGGACATCAATAGGGTGTTCTGTATACAAATGTACTGACAAGCAAAAAGTTGATAGGAGAGAGCAGAGTGAGAAGAGAGATGATCCCATTAGTCTGCTCTTGCTTCTTCATTGTCCACCTACAGAGTGGGGGAAGAAAGGTGTCACCACTGCATTTCCCTAGAAGACAAAAGTATAGCCAAAGCCATACTTCTCTAGTGGGTCACAGGAGTTCACATACTCTTGTTCTCCTGTAACCCAGAGTCAGCTAATAGTGGACAATGACAAGACAGAGCTGCTTCAGGCTCTGGAAGGATCCTGACAATATTGTCAGGATCCACCCAGATGCCTGCTTGATAGCTGACGCTAGAGGAGCAGAGCGGAGAGCAGTGACTAACATTCACTGTTCTCTGCTCTGTGCCGACCGAGATCTGAGCGTTCCCTGGTCATGTGACCACTCAGTTCTGTGTTGTAGAGCCAACATAGGATAGCTGCAGCATCACAGCAATGCTGCAGCATAGAGGTGAGTATATACAGTATGCTTGTTTTGTAACAACCCCATACTTCTCCTTTAACTGCAACAAAGTGATGTCATCCTTTGATATTTGTGGTCCTAAACAATAACCATTGCCCCAATTCCAGTTACTGTAATTAGTATATGACAAAATGTGTTTTATGCTCTAATTTTTTTTATACTTCTTTTCAGAACCACGATCAATCATGTATCGCCTGCAGAATCATCTTCCGATCTGATGAACACCACCCTCCAATCTTACCTCCCAAAGCTGACCTTACTATTGGACTGAATGGGGAATGGGTGAGCCAACGCTGTGAGGTCCGACCAGAAGTACTCTTCCTCACCAGACACTTTATCTTCCATGATAAGAATAACACCTGGGAGGGATATTACTACCACTACTCAGATCCTGTCTGCAAGCATCCTTCATTTACTATCTATGCCAAGGGGCGCTACAGCAGAGGGGTGACGTCAACTAAGGTCATGGGGGGGACAGAATTTGTCTTCAAAGGTGAGTAAGACGTGGTAGTTTATATGGATCTTTGCATGAATGATGGAAAATAGCAACAGATACCTGCTTGGAATGTGAGAAAGGAACATAAAAGATTGAATAAATATACAGGTATTAAAACAAAAAATTATAATTTATATAGAAGGCCAATAATAACAAGAGCATATCTTGGGGGGCACATGTAAAACTGACAAAAATGTGTAATATTCCTTGAAAAAACAGCAGTAAGTAACTTGTTGAGTATTCTAAATAATGTTAATGTCAGAAAAGAACCAAAATCTCAAAGAGGTTTATCAGCTTTCCCAGCTATCTTCCGTGAATTAAAAAACTATTTGATAGGAAGGAGAAGATAAAGAGGTTTTTGAAGTTCAAGACAGGAAAGCAGCCTGGGGTGACAATGCTGACCCCCCATAGTGAGTGAGTATTGACCCCTAGGACAGAAAATTAGTTACTTGCAGGCTGAAATATGTTTTCTTCTTTTACAGTAAACCATATGAAGGTCACTCCAATGGACTATGCTACAGCTTCTCTACTCAACGTTTTCAATGGTGACGAGTGTGGAGCAGAGGGTTCCTGGAAAGTAGGTGTGGAGCAAGATGTTACTCACACAAATGGTTGTGTGGCTTTGGGAATAAGGCTTCCGCACACAGAATATGAGCTATTTCGGATGGAGCAAGATGCGCGAGGAAGATATTTACTTTTCAATGGCCAAAGACCAAGTGATGGCTCTAGTCCAGATAGACCTGAAAAGAGAGCAACATCCTACCAAGTGCCACTAGTGCAGTGTGCCTCTTCACCACTCAGACTGGAAGAGGCATATAATGGAGTCTACAAACTCGGATCAGGAACGCACCTACTTGCATCATCCACATTCATTGGTTTTCCTTTACCATATTTGTGTTTATTTGTACTACTTTATTTTTGGACCAGCTGAAATAACTTAAGAAGAAGTGCCCTTTGTATTTTAATTTAATGGGACCAAGGACCTCTTGTTTCATTGAAGAAATTATACTTGTTTACTTGATGCACTTGGTTGGATGCCCAAGAAATGGTGCCCTGGCTATCATACCTTACCCTATCTACTTCTAAATCTCCAACTGACATTTGCCCTTAACCTAAACTGACCTTGCCTTATTTGGTTGTACAACAGTAATTGCACTTTATGTCAGCTGACAATTTTCAGTTAATATATTGATGAGAAAATAAGTAGTTTACAGCCACTGATGTACACATCTAGTCTGTGCCATATTGCTGTTGTGACATAACTCTGCTCCATAATGCATACCAAATTCCTAACAGTGTTGACATGATCAGGATGGATTTTGTACAGTATTGTGCCTCTAAGCTAAAGACTGATCTTTTTTTATGAACTGGCTCCATTGCTGTCTAAGGGGGTATCTGTCATATAGTCCCTTCAACTTCAAATGGGTCGGAATATTTGCTGTATATATCCTTAGAATGTACATATATGTATATGAAAGATGCATTGATTTATATTGACATATTACACATTTTACACCAAAGAATAAAGACTTGAAAATTTCTGGATAAATATTGTGTTAATTGTACATATACAGTGTTGAATGAAACTCATGGGACAGTAATAAATACGCGACTAGTGCTCTAGCCTTCTTTGCTGAAAAAATATATATTTCTGTCTGTGTTGCTGAGAATCACCCTGGGGGTAGATTTACTAAAACTGGTGCACTCAGAATCTGGTGCAGCTGTGCATGGTAGCCAATCAGCATCTAACTTCTTCTTGTTCAACTAAGCTTTGGCAATAAAACCTGGAAGCTGATTGGTTTCTATGCATAGCTGCACCAGATTTTGCACCATGCAGTTTTGGTGAATAACCACCAGTCTGGTGAAACCATGATCACCAAGACAAGGAAGAGAAATCTCTATAATGGGAACTCAAATAGAAGTTGAAATCTGATAGGTATTCTAACCCTTTCCTACTCTATTCAAAACAAAAAAACGTCTGAACTTTAATTCTTATATCTCCAACCTCGCAAAATTCCTGTATACCTGTGCAAGGAAGGACAATGATGGATATGGCTTGGGACCTAAAGTAAACCTGCATTGAGAGAACATTAGAGGCTGCCACTGTTGACCTCTTTAGTTGATTGTTTGCCACTGACTTTAGTATTTTAAGACACTGATCAAGCACTGGGATTAGGGTCATAAGTCAAAACTTTTAATTTTCATACTTGTGTGAAATCTGTGACTAAGGCTAGGTTCACACTTATGCAACTGGTGCAGGTCATGTTCACACAGGAAACGCAAGAAAAAAGTCCCTGCACCTTTTTAAAATCTCAGCCACAGGGAAATCACATGGTGCGTTTGTACCATGTTGTTTCTCACCCCAGAAAACGCTCTGGGTTTTCAGATGTGTGGCGGTGCCATTAAAGTAAATGTAAACACTCACTTTGTAACACAACCCATAGAATTTAAAATAGAAATTAAAAGTAAAACATTTGTGTATAGATACAGTCAGGTCCATAAATATTGGGACATCGACACAATTCTAACATTGTTGGCTCTATACACCACCACAATGGATTTGAAATGAAACAAACCTGCAGACTGTCAGTTTTAATTTGAGGGTATTTACATCCAAATCAGGTGAACGGTGTAGGAATTACAACAGTTTGAATATGTGCCTCCCACTTGTTAAGGAACCAAAAGCAATGGGACAGAATAATAATCATAAATCAAACTTTCACTTTTTAATACTTGGTTGCAAATCCTTTGCAGTCAATTACAGCCTGAAGTCTGGAACGCATAGACATCACCAGACGCTGGGTTTCATCCCTGGTGATGCTCTGCCAAGTCTCTACTGCAACTGTCTTCAGTTCCTGCTTGTTCTTGGGGCATTTTCCCTTCAGTTTTGTCTTCAGCAAGTGAAATGCATGCTCAATCGGATTCAGGTCAGGTGATGGACTTGGCCATTGCAGAACATTCCACTTCTTTCCCTTAAAAAACTCTTTGGTTGCTTTTGCAGTCTGCTTTGGGTCATTGTCCATCTGCACTGTGAAGCGTCCAATGAGTTGTGAAGCATTTGGCTGAATATGAGCAGATAATATTGCCCGAAACACTTCACAATTCATCCGGCTGCTTTTGTCAGCAGTCACATCATCAATAAATACAAGAGAAGCAGTTCAATTGGCAGCCATACATGCCCACGCCATGACACTACCACCACCATGCTTCACTGATGAGGTGGTATGCTTAGGATCATGAGCAGTTCCTTTCCTTCTCCATACTCTTCTCTTCCCATCACTCTGGTACAAGTTGATCTTGGTCTCATCTGTCCATAGGATGTTGTTCCAGAACTGTGAAGGCTTTTTTACATGTTGTTTGGCAAACTCTAATCTGGCCTTCCTGTTTTTGAGGCTCACCAATGGTTTCCATCTTGTGGTGAACCCTCTGTATTCCCTCTGGTGAAGTCTTCTCTTGATTGGTGACTTTGACACACATACACCTACCTCCTGGAGAGTGTTCTTGATCTGGCCAACTGTTGTGAAGGGTGTTTTCTTCACCAGGGAAAGAATTCTTCGGTCATCCACCACAGTCGTTTTCCGTGGTCTTCCGGGTCTTTTGGTGTTGCTGAGCTCACCGGTGCGTTCCTTCTTTTTAAGAATGTTCCAAACAGTTGTTTTGGCCACGCCTAATGTTTTTGCTATCTCTCTGATGGGTTTGTTTTGTTTTTTCAGCCTAATGATGGCTTGCTTCACTGATAGTGACAGCTCTTTGGATCTCATCTTGAGAGTTGACAGCAACAGATTCCAAATGCAAATAGCACACTTGAAATGAACTCTGGACCTTTTATCTGCTCATTGTAGTTGGGATAATGAGGGAATACACACACCTGGCCATGGAACAGCTGAGAAGCCAATTGTCCCATTACTTTTGGTCCCTTAACAAGTGGGAGGCACATATACAAACTGATGTAATTCGTACACTGTTCACCTGATTTGGATGTAAATACCCTCAAATTAAAGCTGACAGTCTGCAGTTAAAGCACATCTTGTTCATTTTATTTCAAATCCATTGTGGTGGTGTGTAGAGCCAAAAATGTTAGAATTGTGTTGATGTCCCAATATTTATGGACCTGACTGTATAAAAAAAAACTTTATAAATACCTTTTTCCCCCTTGTTTATAAGTGATCACATACCTTCTGTTCTCAGAAAGGTGCGGGAAGAGAAACACCAGCACACTGATCTTCCCAGTGAATGGCTGTTCAGGATGAGGCATGTCAGCAAAAGTTTGATCATTGGAGGAGAGCAGGCTGAGTTCCAGCACAGCTAGAGAACTGACCATGCTGTGCTTTCCTGCCTTATGTGCTCAGTTTTTAATAGGAAAGCAGGGGGATTGGCAGGAATATCAGGGATTTCACACAAAGGAAGCTATACAAAGAAAAAAGGATACTTTTTCATGCAAGTAAATGGTACAGCAGGCACATATTAGGAATATGAAATGTTGTGTCTACATATTGTTTGAGAATTAATGACAACCCAGTGCATCAGGTAAATACCAGTGCGGTTTGTCTGCAGGTGCAGGAATGGGTGTGATTTCCATGCATTCCCACATTTATGTGAACCTAGCCTAAAGCTGGGTATACACAGACTGAAAGTTGGCCGGTTCAGCAGGAACCAGATGAATTTCACTCTGTGTTTAACCCTGTTTGTTCAACAGAAGCTGGTTGTTGGACCAGCTTCTGTTGAATGGTCCTACTAGAAAATTGGCATTCAATCAGCATTTGCAGCCAGTAGCTGCAAAGCTGATCTATGTATTCTTACGAGGGGAGATCCCTGCATCCACACTGCTTTTGTGGATGCAGGGATCTGTCAGTTTTTTATCACTCAGCACGCTGGTATACAAAAAAACTGTGTATACCCAACTTTAGAAAGTACATTGGATGTAATAAAGTGACTACATCCAAATAGGCCATCAGGTCAAGGCTTTTTTTTACAGACACAAAGAATAAATATTCCTATCCAGAATAACGTGCTACAATCTGATTGTTCAACTTTTTAAAAATAATTTATACAGTGTATACTTTTATTCATGACTCATGCAACTTTGACCTAAGGTTAACACTTATTTTTTTCTTTTTTTTTTTACTGACTTTTTGGGTGAAAATGTTTGGATCTTGGGTGAAAGTTGTCTGAACCTTGACTACATTGATATAATTTTTTGGGTGCAAAAAAAAAATGTTACAAATAACTACTTTAGGATTAAAAAAAGATTATCATACAGTATATGACAATTTGTACCATTTCTCCAATATATCCAGTCTCTGCTTCATGCACTCCTATTTAATTGGTATAGATACGTTCAAGGTGAGCATACACACATAAAAGATTTCTGTACACTTCTCATCTAAATGTAATCGACTGCACAATTCCTTTGTGAGCTTTTCTCTGAACACTGAGAATTATCCAAATCTATTACACATTAAAGTCTGTGTAAACTCTAAAGCTGGTCATACAATTTAGTATTTTCTTGTTCAATTTCCTTTACATTTACCTTCAACTATGTAGTGCAAGGGCCAGTCTGACTGCATACAAATTGAAAGTGTTTAGGTTTGAGCTTATATTATACAGTATGGTTTTGGTAAATCTAAAGGAAAATTGTACAAGAAAATTGTATAATGAATGGCCAGCCTAACAATGAACTTCTCTTATTTGCTGTCTTTTGATTTGTTGACATTAGCTATTTTTGATGTTTGTCAAGTTCGTCAAGTTTAAAAAAAATCCTGTTGATTCTAAAATTCAGAGCTGTCCTGTTCATTCCGCCTTTGTTGTTATATCAAGGAGTCTAATCAACTCTGCTTAGCTCCCTTCCCTAAACTACAAAACTTCCTTCCTCTATGTAGTGGAGATAAGAAGTTTTCTTAGTTCAAAAAAGTCAACCATGCAGGGCTAATA